ATCATTGTGAATAAATCCCTTCTTCTTTTTGGTTATATGTGTATGATATACAAAAGAAACGTTTTTATTTATTTCAGTTTTTAGTAATATTTATTCTGTTCTACTTTCAATAAGACGTATTCCTCTTATTTAGGTGATTTTTTTCAACGAAAATAGATCCCATATTCTTTAATGTGAAAATCTTAATCAAAAAATTTATCGATTCTTAGAAAGGACAAAGAGTTGTGTAAACATACCGCAAACACGGACAAGCAAAAAGGTTTTATTTAAAAACAAAATATCACGTTTTTCCAGTAATTAGTTCTAATAGTAACGACACTTTTCAGTTTTGTCATCATTAGGAACAATTCCTAAAATGACTGTGCTGTAAAAGACATTGTAGATTTGCATGATGTTTATAATTTTTGTATTTAATAATTTAGAAATAGAATCAGCAGTTAAATATACCCATCACAAAGCAATCATGAAACATTACACCATACTTATTAATGCCTGACCATTAAATAACAGTGCTTAGGGATATTAGGCTTCTGGATCTTAAGTATTGTTGAAAAACCTAATATCCAAATGTCTGGTAATTTCTTAAAGGTGTGTAAGAGTTTCCACACCTCATGTGTTTAGCTTCCTGGAAGAAGGGATACAATCAAAGAGTTTTTACAGTTGTGGAGATGTTTTTTTTTATAATGATACATCTCATCAAATCTCAACACATTGTCCCCATCAGAATCTTGTGCTTCTTTTTTCTAAAATAAAAAAAGCTTTATATATATGGGCTCTCACTTTTGTCATGCAAACAAAAATAGCAATACATACCTTCTTTAAAAAAGGAAAAATTAAAAAATTCTCATTTTTTTCAGTTTAGATGACGTAGTTTACATAACGATGACACTCCCTTTATATGTATAAGTATTAAGGTTTTCTTGCTTATGTCAGAGAAATACTTTCATTGAAAATACTCACGTTGTTGTAACAGAATCCTGTGTAAAATTAACTGCAGGCAACAATAAGTACAAACAGAGGAATGCGCTCAGTTCATTTGTCAAGAACAGAATTGTGACTCAGAAGAAAGTTGTGGCCCAGGAGCCTCTTGTTTTGGGATCTTTAACTAAAAACAAAATAGATCACTTCCTATTTCTATTTATCACTTCTTCTTGTGTTACAAAAATGTCATCACGATATGCAACAAAGACTTTTTGGGATCTTTAACTGAAAACAAAATAAATCACTACCTATTTATATAAATGACTTCTTCTAGTATTACAAAATTATCATCGCGACATGCAAATAGAAAAGACTTTTTCTATAGACGTTAAGCGCGATGTTGGTGCAATTTTACAATTGAAGTACAGCACCTAATAAACCCATCGATGATTTCAAAACCAATCATCGCAGACTGGGTGATTTTGGTGTGAATCAATAGGTTACGATTCCAGTCAGAAATAACATTTAAATAGTTTGTTTGGTTTTTTTTTTTTTTTTTTTTTTTTTTTTTTTTTTTTTTTGCAAAATACATGTATATAATTGTACAGAGCAAATTAAAGATATTTTTAGCGTGAACAGTCATTCCACACAAACGGGCCCAATTGAGAATTTTTATGTCGCTTTCAAATTTACCGTTGTAATATCTTTACTATAAATTTAAAGATCGATTTCAACTCTAAGACTTAACATGCACACATGGTTTTTTAAATATTTACCGATATATATGCAGTTAAAGTTTTGATGTGAACATAATGTAACGTTGAAAAACGTATTCCACTGCAAATCTTAATGTCGCTTCATTTACTTACAAATTTCAAGAGAAATTTTCAGCCGTAAAAGCGTTCCGAATAGATTGCAATGAATGATAAAAAAGTTTTTTTTTCTATATAAAAAGAAAGCAAACCACTTCTAGCAAAGAAATGCATGGATCTTCTTTCATGCGAAATCATAGCATGTCGCAAAAATCGATTAACTTCCGTAACGATTTTGTTTTAAATTTCACGCACAGATGAGCTTTTCTTATAGATTTGACCGTTCACGGTAGCTTAGTCTGTAGAGCGCTCGCTCCGTGATCGGGAGGTCGTGAGTTCGAATCTCGGCCGCGACAGACCTAAGTCGATAAAAAATAGGTAGCAACTGTTCCTTCGCCATACGCTCGGCACTTTGAAGTGAAAGTTGCGGGTCCTTCGGATGAGACCTTAAAGACCGAGGCCCCGTGTCACGGCAGGCGTTGGCACGATAAAGATACCTCACTGCTCAATGGCCCTGAGTGCCGAGTAAAGGTCAAAATTTGAAGCCCTTCACCGGTATATGGTGACGTCTCTATATGAGTAAAAAATTCTCGAATGGGACGTAAAACAATATACAATCAATCAATCAATCTTATAGATTTGAAATACTTCATTAGGACTGATATCAAACTGCATGCTTTGTAGCAAATAGATGGACAAATTGAAAATGACCAGAATTTAAAATGACCTGCAAAAATAAAATAAATTAATATAAGATGTTCGAGGGTTGAATTCTATTTTTTTCCCCATCAATTGCAAAATTTATGGTATGTTCATAATGTGCTTATCCAAACGTTCAGGATGAATGTCCAATTGATAAATTTTCTCATTTAATTAATATTTTAGACAACATTTAGGAGGTTCAACATATTTGTCCAGTGCAAGTTCTTGACGCGTAAGTCGTTTTGCTTCAACGCAATGCACGAAAATGCGTTTTTAAAAGACTGATTTGAGTTATTGACAGACTTTATCATACATAAATCGAAAGCGCCCTTTTTGTTCATTTGTAAATTACAAGCAGTCTGTGATTTTTTACTTGGATTTCAAGCGCAAGGAGAGAGGGACAGCCAACGCACAGCCAACACTGTTGTCGTATATTAATTTTCAATCTGAAGTTAAAAATGAGCACATAATTTTAAATTGTCATAATTACAAAAATTTAATTTGTCATTAAATCATTTCTTACTTCAGATTTAAAATTAATACACGACACTAGTAATACCTGGAGGTTATATTTGTTTTGTTCATGTTTACACTTCATACTTCTTTCAAAATATTACATCTGTGAAGATGTGGTAACATGCTGGGTGTAATATTGTTTAAAAATATTCTGCAATTTTATAAAGTATATAACCACAAAAAAGGAAATAACGTATGTATCTTCTCTAATAATTTATTATTAATGTTTGTTGAAAGTGTTCCTTTAAGCTCTCTTGAAAAAAATTGAAGCATAGTACAGTTATATCTTTTTATACTTTAAGTAGTTTTTAGACAGTTCCCTTAATCATTTTCACAATAAGAGTCCAAAGGATTTCAAACAAATTTTAAAATAATCACACAAAACGATCCCTAACATCCTTCTTCTCTAGAAAGAAAAGTCCTATTTTGATACTTCAAGAAGATAACACCAAACATTGTAAATGTACATAATAGTTTAATCTTTGTGCCAATAAAACGAATGCACAATTCATCGTCGTCAAAAAAGCCATAATATTGTCAAAATAATCAAGCATCCTTAAGGTCAAGATCTAGTAAATGAGTGTAGCCTTTCTTCTTGGTGCTACATGTAGATTCATTATGACGTCATAATTGATTTAAACTTAATTTTTCCCGTACTTTACAGCTTCGATAGAATTATGAAGAAAATAAAGCACTTTCATGGATTTCAATTTGAAATCATGTCAAATGTAACCCCGATACTCTTATTCCGTTTAATATCATTTTAAAGAAGAGATCAAGAAGATATGAAAAACCGTTTTCTGAGAGACTGTAGGCAATATTGATACATTTACTTTGTCTGAGATGGAGGGAAGTCCCATTTTTATACCAGACTTTCTTCATTTTTCATTGAAAATGGGCAGTTTTTCCGATGAGTTTACCCTAAAATCATGTCCGGATACACCTTAATTTACCAAGCTATATTCGTAAAGGATCATTAAAAGAATGTGTATCTCAATTTTGAGAAATCTGTGGACACCTTTCATTCACTAGATCTTGACCTTAAAAAACCTTGAATCAACTCTGTAAAATCATAGCACTTTGAGTCAAACACTTAACCTACTTAAATAAGCATTTAAACCTCTCTTGTTAAGAACAGCAGAGCTATTATATTTGTCAAAGTTATACAATAAAGCTGAAACTACGGGTAATAAAAAGGGAAAAAATATCATATACACAAAAACAAACACATTATGATTCAAATGATCATAAAAGCAAGATCATTTTAAGCAACAAACAAGCGTAAATGTAAAACAGTTATCTTTATAAAATGAACAGTGAACATTACAGCTTAGCAAAAGGAAGCAAAACAATCATCGGGTGGTGCACCATGAATGTTTTGGTGTCAGAATTTTTTTTAAATTGTTTTACGGTCATTGAAGTTATATTGTAAGTACAGATTTTTAGATGATATTTTATGCCGTGCCCGCCGCCTATAAAAATTAAAATTAGTTTAACCCATTTTACCTTGCAAAGCAGTGAGTGATGGAGTGGTGTTGATAGTTAGGTTAGGTTGCAAGGGAGGAGGTCAATAAGATTAATTGATTGTTGTTTACATCCCTAATGAGAATTTTTTTCACTCATATAAGACGTCACTAAATACCGGTGAGGAGATTCACTTTTAGACCTAAACTGGACACTTTCGGTCATTGAGCAGTGAGATTCTCTGTCGTGTTAACTCCTATCGTGTGATTCGGTGCCTACAATTTCACTTCTAATGCTGGGCGCAATCAGTACTTATGATATAAATAGATCCCTCTTAAGAGAAAATATTTCATATACTTGTTATATTTACATACTATATAAATGCTACTCTGTTGTATGTGGGGACTCTTACGTTATCGTGTCCTTTTTATGTCAGAAGTTTTCCTGTTTTCTACTAATACTTCCTTTACTACAGTTATCAACATAAAGGTATATTTCACAATCAAGAATGTTTTCTAGTATTAAATACGTATTTAAAAAATATTTTGACGATCAACCAGAGGTTATTTTGTACGTGTGATACACGATCGGGTAGGAGGTTGCTATGTTTTGATACCAAAAAAAATCTCTGGAATACATTATGAACAGGATTAGAACAAAATTCTAAAAAGAACAAAGAATATAAGTATGAATTTTCAGGTAGGTGTGATTTTAGAGGGGGTTTCCTGATAAAAGTAGAAAATATAGTATAAGTATTTATTCATTTCTTAAGAAATAAATTGTGCAGACTTGTAAACTACAGAAATGAAGACAGACATAGTAATGTTTTATTTCTTTAGTTGCTTCTTTTTTGCTTTGAATGGATTTCATGAAATTTATGGTCAAGTTGGTAAGTATCTATTAAGATGGTTTATTTTCTTCTGGTTGATAAAAATCGACAAAAATTGAACTTCAATATTTTATCATATTTCTCAGCATTTTTATATTCTTTCTCTTCTTTGTACAAAGCACGACAATTTCAACAAGGCGATTTGAAGAATTTGACACTTGATAACATTTCAGATTACCTTACATTTCTGGTAAGTCTTTGTTAATCACTACAAGAATAATATACGCTATACTTCTATGGTATAAACTTATTATGTACCCTTATCGAAGATTTAGAGGTATATAGTTTTTACCTTGTCCGCCCGTCTGTCTGTCTGTCCGCAAAAACTTTAACCTTGGCCATTACTTTTGATTGGTTGGAGCTATGGGTTTCATATTTTACTTTTTTATTCCTTGTGACAAGACCTTCCTTTGGGTACTAACACATTGGACCTCTTGACCTTGGAGTTCGACCCACTTTTATAAAAATTTACCCAACTTTAAACTTGGCCATAACTTTTGAACTGTTTGTGGTAGGGTTCTCTTATTTCACATGTGTATTAATCGTGACAAGACCTTCCTTTGGATACCAACTATTTTGACCTTGATCTTAAGAGTTTGACCCAATTTAAAAACTTTAACCCTGACCGTAACTTTTGAACAGTTAGTACTAGGGCTTTCATATATCATAGGTATATTTCCGTGACAGAAACTTTCTTTTGGATATCAACAATTTTGATCTTTTGACCTTGACCTTGTCGTTTGACCTACTTTTGAAAAATTTCAACCTTTGCCAAAACTTTTGAATAGTTGGTGCCAGGGCTTTCATATTTTGCATGTTTATTTCTATTGACAAGATCTTCCCCTGCCTTTCATTAATTTTGACCTTTGGACATTGACCTTGGAGTTTGATCCACTTTTAGAAAACATTAACCTTGATCATAACTTTTGAATGGTTGGTGCTTGGGCTTTCATATTTACCAAGTATATCCATTGGCACCAGACCTTTCTTTGGGTAACAACATTTTTGATCTCTTGATCTTGACCTTGGAGTTTGACTTGCCTTTGAGAAAATTTAACCTTCGCTATAAGCTGCCATACGGGGGCATCAGTGTTTCACAAACACATCTTTTTTAGGATATCATTTAAAAAACTCAAACAGTTAAAAGAATTTCTAAATGTCCATAGAAGTAATCTTAGGGCCCTCAAGAGTTTTTTTTTTTACTTGATTAAGATTAAACTTATTGAAATAAATGTATATTATTTGCAGTATGATCGAACAATAATTAATACTGACTCAATAAAAGAGCTGGAAAGAAATTTGACAGACATAAGAAATCGGAGGATGGCTCTGGATAGACATATTAGTAATATAATAAAGGTAAACAAATTTAATAAGGTGACCAAAATGTACATGTATATAATACAGGTAAGTTGGAATTTGGCATACCTGGCGAGTAAATCTGAACACATCTTTCAAAACCTGAACATATTCAAAATTATTTATAAAAATTTCTAAAATGTTTTCCTCATATTTATTTCCTTGACTATCAATAAGACCACACTCTTGTGTTGTTTGACTACATATAACGCAATGAAATATGAAGAAAACGAACAGTAATCAAGCTCAAAAGTCCATTGGAACAATACAATTTTTAAAGCAGAGCAAACACGGACCTCTAAAAACATCAGAGATGGGGTCAGATGCAATGGAGGAGTAAGTATCCCCTGTCGGCTGGTCACACCGACGTGTGCTTCTTGTCTTGAAAAGACAAACGGAAAAAAAAACCCGAAGACCATTCACTGTGAAAATAATGTCATAACAATGTGTTTGAAAAGCATAAGTCAAATTCGACTTGAAGCTGAACACGACTCGTTAATAGGCATACGTCATATTAGATTTGATATCTCCGATATCAACACTGGGATTTACCCTTTGCATTCGTTACACCTGACTGCTTTACTGTCTCTGGTACCAGCGTGGAATGCACGACACGTATTCATGCTGGCTATCTTTCTTTACCTTTGTTTACATTTTATTGCATACTTAAAAATTTCAAGAAACTTTTGGAAAATTTGAAATCACAAAATATTACCAAAATCAAACACTTACGACTTTTCAACGCTGTATACAACCATTCCCCATGATAAATTAAAGTCCAGGCATTTTGACATCATTGACAGCTGCTTTTTCAATAAAATTGGAACTCGTAAATTTACTTACCTTGTCATTGGTCACTTGCAAAATTATTTTGCTAAAAACTTTCTGATTGTACACACAAGTATTCTGAAGTTGATATCAAAAAGATGCTTGAGTTTCTGATTGATAATATCTATGTGGTTTTTAGAGACCAGGTCTTCCAACAATCTGTTGGAATTTCCATCGATACCAATTGTGTCCCGTTGTTAGCAGACCTATTTTTGTATTCATATGAAGCAGAATTTATTCAAAATCTTATACATGAGAAAAAGAAATCTCTTTCTGTGGCCTTCAACTCAACATTTAGATATATCGACGACATATTATCAATTAACAATAGTTACTTCCATTCATATGTCGACACGATATATCCCAGTCGGCTTGAAATAAACGATACCACAGAGTGACACATCTGTTTCATATTTGGATATTTTACTAGAAAAAGACGTGAATGGTAATCAAACAACAAAGCTTTATGATGAACGTGATGACTTTAACTTTTCAATCGTCAACTTCCCTTATTTATGCAGCAATATACCCTTATCACCTGCATATGGGGTGTATATCTCTCAGTAGATTCGATACGCAAGAGCATACTCGACGTATGAACGATTTCTAAAACGAGATAAGTTATTAACAAACAAGTTGATAAAAAAAGAATATCAAAAGTCTCGTTCAAGTCATCATTTCGTAAGTTCTGAGGTCGATACAATGACCTTGCCAGCCAATGAAGTCTATCATTAAGTCATATGCTGACTGATGTTTTTCATACTAATTTTTTGGCCATTATTTACACAACTGAATTGTCGACGGATTTTTTCGTTATTTCCCGATCATGACAAGGAGCACACGGCGGATGTGACCGGTCGGAAGGGTATGCTCTCTCCTCCATGGCACCTGAACCCACCTGTGTTTTTGGGGCTCCTGTTTGCTCTGCTCCCGATTTGAATTGTTTAATGGACTTTGAGCACGAATACTGTTCGTTATCTCCATATTTCAGTTTACGTGTATTTGTCTTTGTATACTGCACTAACCTGTGCAACTGTTGTAAATTTCTTTGGTATCTTTCTCTCCTGCAATGGAAGAAGCACACAGTTTTATTTTCGTCGCTATAGAAAGTTTTATAATAGATATGTAGCATACACAAGTGACAACTGATTTCACTGAACAGTGACTAAGTGAACGGCTTATATAGGGACACTCAGAAATAACGACTTGATAAAAGAGTATAGCTGACAAATATCTTTTACGAATCGTCTTCAGCTTTTACGATAGGTTGTATTTCCTAACAAGGTCATTTTATCGAACATAGAATTTGCGATATGTTGACTATAAACAAGAAAGTTGATATCCTTGTTTCATCAACTTGTTTGTCAATAGCTTGCCTCGTTTCAGAAATTATTCGTTTGTAAAACATGCTCTTCCATATCGAGTCAAGACATAAACTACAAATGCATGTGATAATGTTATATTAGGGATATTATTATTATAAATAAGGGACGCTGACGATAGAAAAGTTGAAGTCATAACGTTTATCATAAAGTTTTGTTCTTAGTTTGCCATTAATGTCTTTCTCTGGTAAATATCCAAATATGAAACAGATCTGTCAAATTCTGTGGTGTCTTTTATTTCGACTTCAAAGGAATATATCGTATCAACGTAGGAATGCAAACGAATATTTTTAATTGATAAAACGTGGTCATTATATTCATATGTCGAATTGAAAGACTCAGCATTAGACTTCTTTTCAAGGAGAAGTTTTTGAATAAATTCCTTTTCATATAAATACAAAAATAGTTCTGCTAATAACTAACGGGGTCCAATTAGTATTCCAAAGCTACAGATAGATAAAAAAAACTTGTTGAATGACCATACGTTTACAGTGAACCTCGGATATATAGAACTCTGATATGATAAAAAAAAACTCGGTTGTAAGGATTTTTATGTAACCCCTCGGTGACTTCTCATTATGTTCCTTATATAGGTATGTGAAGAATCTTGGTTATAAAGAAGTATAATTCAAAGTCCCGGTGACATCCTTATAATTTTAAACGAGTTTTATTGTATGTCGCCTCAAAAATCTCTTTAATTATATCTATATTCGAAATATTTCTGTAAGAGGTTTTGTTAATGCTTACGCATTGTTGTGATTCTTATTATTGGTGGGGAATACATTGTTGTCCAAATTACAGTTTGAATAAAAGTAACTTTCCTTAGATCTGAGACTTCAGGATCACCATAACGTTTACCGCCATTCAAGTACACCTGTGTATCAACAGCTTTTCTCTTTCAAAATTAACGCTAAATTTAAGACATGTCATAATCATTTAAATGGTGGATTTTAACAATACTAGAAATAATTGAAAACCAAGAAGCATAGCATTATTTGAATTTTTGCTTAATTGACGGTAGAAAAAATTATGAAATGTTTCAAAAAGAAGGATGTCTTAGCACATACATTTCAAAAAGAGACTTTTCAAGGGAGTTTTGTTTAATAACTCTCAACATTACATAACTAGTACTTGTGCTAAACACCAAAGTCTCCTGAAATACATGTTTGTACATTGTCCAATTTTGATTCATTCATCGTTGTTTTACTTTAAAAATGTTTCAATCGAGTTGAAAAAAAAAATTGAAAAGTCAAATAAAATGTTATAGTTTAGAGTTAAAGGTAAGCATCTTGCTATTTTGATTTTTTTTCTTCAGATTAATGTTATTTCATTGTTATTTTATTGTATTTTTCAATAAAGAATTTTTTTTCCTTTTTCTTGAAGTCAAATTTAATGAATGGGAATTTCTGTGGATAATTTAAAATTAAATTTACATTTTATGCACCATTGTAGCCGTATTCTTTTTTTTAAATGATAATGGGTATTTAAGAATGTATAATCTGCATTTATGATTAAAACGTCTGCAGCTCTTTGCTTTTCAAATTATTTACGATGAATTTAAAATATAGAAATATGATGTTGAATTCATTAAGAGTCATAATAATTAATAAATTTTCATTTTCAGAAAAAAATAAAGCGCATCATCAGGACGAAATTCAGAAATTCAACAAAAAGTGCACACACAAGAAGGAAGAGTAAAAAGCCAACAAGAAACGGAAACAAAAAACTAAAAATTAACTACCATAATCATGTTAATGAGTAGCTTTTAAATCGATGAAATAATTTTTACTATCTCAAACATCAATTTAAGCTAACGTTTAAGGGAAAGACACAAAATATTGTTCATTTAAACATACATGTAGTCAAAGAAATAGATTTCTGTAAAAATGATAAACTCTCTCTCTGAACTTAAGGAAGTGTTTGTTCTTGTAACCAATTTGTAATTTGTCGATTGGAAAAGATAAAATTGTCCCCTTCCCTACCATTTACGACATTCTAAAGATTCTTCTTAAGATAATTTTGTGTTATAGAACCTTAAGTTTTCTGAGACTTCAGAATTTGATATCTGAAATCAATAATCATGACCTTTGTTACGGTTATCACATATATCAATCCTTAGGGGTAATACAATCTTCTAAAGTTAATCTATTACAAAATTATGCTATGGAAAAAGATTTTACTCAAACCAATTATTTCCGTCTATATCATTTAGAGAGGGAAACATAAAATGCTTAAGTGGATTAGAAAACAAGAGGTATCACAAGATTATATAACTAAGAAAAAAAAGGTTCAGATTACAGTTGTTGCATTAAAATAAAGCTAATATAGCATTTAAACTAAGTGAAAATGGTATACCATTATGATACATTTACTTATTAAAATGAACAAACATACTAAATATAAAAGCAGAAATTTGCAAAATTGGAGGAGCCACACTTACAGGAATCTTTATTTCAATTATCCATGAGACTTTTGAATTGATTTAATGTTGAAACATTTCTAATATCTTCTTGAAGTTCATTCTATAGTTTGACTCCTGCGTACCTAAAAGAATGTAAACATGTTAAGTTGTTCTTTTCCTTGGCACCTGTTCCTGTTGCTTGTCCTAAGATTATATAATATGTCTCTAAAAGTGATAAGCAGATAAATTGACCTTTCAGTTTTTGAATTTTAAAAAACTTCCGTAGCCATGCTCAATCTTCCGATTCTTAAAGTTGGTAGACCTGCCTTTAGAAATAGATCTTCATACGTACTGTTTTGATCATCATTTATAAATCTAATCTAAGAGCAGTTTTTCTTTTATTTTTTTCTTATGTATTTTTCTGCTCAAAAGTGCCACACAAAAACAGGGCAGTAATTGAAATTGTTCATTATAAAAGAATAATGAATGGTTAGTTTCACCAGTTTGAATAGGTGTGTATATATGCGTTTTAATACAAATCTAGCGTTTTTTGCTGCTTTTTTTCTTTACAAATATTTGAAATATGGGTAATGAAATTTAGTTGACTATAAATTATTACACCCATGTTTGGATTGATAAATTTGCCTCGCTATGACTCCATTAGAGAAGGCTTACAACATCTTTGTTCGTAAGGTACAGTATTATAACTGTATTTTAGAAAAAGAAATTGGTGTTAATTCTACATCTGGAAATCCAGCTTATACTATCAGTTCACTTTCTAAAGATGAAATTCTTCAAAATCACATTTCAGACGTTTTAGTACTTTTAACATTCCAATCTGCAAAGGTAAGATCGACCTAACCTACTTATACTAGATTCCGTAACTACATAAAAATCCTTACAAAGATACATTTAAAGGGTCCAGCAATTGCTTTGCCATGCCCCCATCTTTACTCTTCACAAAAAATATCAACTATAATAAACTAGAAACGTCAGTCGTATTGCGCTACAGCATATTTTAGAAGTGATGTAAATCAAAATGTGAATTTTCAAAATCTTCAAATAACTTTAAGAGAATTTAAAATCACGTTTTTCAAAAGTCACTAACATCAAAACTATGACTTTTCAACACTTTATACAACAACTTTTCAAGATAAATTAAAGACAGAGCATTTAATATCATAAACAACTGTTTTTCTTTGAAATGGAACTCGAAAATTTTCATATCTTGAGATTTGTCATCAACAAAATTACTTTAATAAAAAGACACTCTGATTCTACACACAAGTACTCTTAACTTAATATTAAAAGGATGCTGGAGTTCTTCATTGACAACATCTATGTTTTCTTTGGAGACCAGGGCATCCAACTATCTGTTGGAATGTTTATTTTTTAAATTTATTTCCCAGATCCTAATCTATAACAACATATAAACACTAACATCTAGAGGAAAAAACAAGCCAACTGACAGGGATGGGGCCCTTCTAAACAATAATAAATTTGTTCCTATGACATTACGCAAGATGTTTAAAATAAAAAAAAATTCCTGAATACAAACATTTTCAACAAAATATATGAATATAATATACATCATGAATTAAGGTATGAATCAATAGCTTTAAATAGCTGTCAATAGAGGGAGCCACAATACATATCACAGTCTATCTGTTTGAATGTTGAGGGGCACTTATTGTGCTCCTCTATTAGCCGATCGCTTTTTCTTTTCATACGAAGCAGAATTATTCAAAAACTTTTACATGAGAAGAAGGAAGCACTTGCTGTGGCCTTCAACTCGACATTCAGATATATCCATGCCGTTTAAGCAATAAATAATAGTTACTTCCATTCATATGGACTCAATATATCCCGGTGAAATTGAAATAAAAGATACGACAGAGTCTGCCATATCTGTTTCATAATTTGATATTTTACTGACTATAGACGATAAGGGCCAACTAATAATTAAGCTGTTTGACAAATAGGTTGATGTTACAAGGATTTCAACAAAGTAAGTTTTTCGCAAAATCTAAATTGTATGACAAACGAGATGATCAGTTTTTCCATCGTCAACTTTCCTTGTTAATAAAGTAATATACCGCTATCACTTGCATTTGGTGTTTATGTTTATGTCTCGATCCCATCTTATTGATACTCAAGAGCATTCTGTACGTACGCTCGATTTTAAACCGAGGTAGGCTACTGACAAATGTGTTGATGTTACAGGAATTATAACAATGTCGTTTTATGTCAGCATTTCGTAAATTCTATGGTTGTTATAATGACTTTGCTAGCAAATACAAGCAGTCTTTGGGTCATATTTTGACTAACATATTTTATACAAATAGCAAGGTCCTTGTTTTATACTAAATTGGACAAATTCCGTCTTCCTGAACGATCGTTAGTCTTATAGTGGGTGTGACCAGTCGACAGGGGATGCTTACTCCACATAGGCACCTGATCCAATCTGTGGAATTGTCGAAGATCCGTATTTTTTGCCCTGTTTGCATTGTTCGTAGGTTTTTGAAATAGATTACTTGATCATATCTTTTGATTAAGGAACTGATAAAGCTCTTTCTACATATAAAGTTACTTTTAGGCCTCATCTATGTTTGTACAGTTTTTTTTTTTAAAAATAAGAGCCTTTAATTTTTAATTTGTGGCTATTTATGGTCTTTTCGAAAGAATTAAAGCTTTTGTTATTAAACGTTAATGTCCCTTCAATTCAAATGTGTTCAAGGGAAGTTTGATTACAACCAGTGGTTCTGGAGAAGTCGTCAAAAATTTCAAGATTTGCACATAGGGCTGTTCGGAAATTATTGAGACATTTTGTTTAGTCTTTTTTCTAATGAACGAAATCTATGTCTGACAAACACTAAGAATTAATAAAAGCAAGAGATATTTTACAAACATTTTAATTCTTCTTTTTAATGGTATATTAATGTGTCAATGGTAGGGGTACCCGGCGTAGTCAAGAAATCAGATATGAAAAATATGCAACACCTTCGTTCAAACTCCTGGTGGGCCCTTAGTAAGAGAGAAAATAAATTATGTATATTATTTTTCAGTTTTATTTTGACTTCATTTTGTGCACGTTGGATAGACTTTCGATCAGAAATACGGATATCATATGTAACGTTTTCGGGTATAGCTGTTGTTTTTGAATATTCTTTTACCCGCTTGATGGGTTACGTTACAAATATTGTTTGTGGGTCTCTTATTTCTGAGATTTACCTTAATTAATTAAAGAGACTTGTTTAACTTTAAAAATGAATTTATTAAAACAATAATTTATGATTAATAAATACAATCAAGAAACAATTATGGGTAATGGGTCAGGACGTATAAATAACAATAATCAGTTGGTTGGGTCACCCATGGATCAATTTACCCAATGAAAACATATGGGTGGCATCAGATTCTTACCCATAATTATGGCTGTAAATGAGTTGGGAATATTTCAGTTCAGTCAAGGTGTTAATACGACTGACCAACGTACCAAACTGAAGAGGACGTTCAAAACGTCGCCTTTGTATACCTTTCGTACAACGGTGCGAATTACTTCACGCGCGAATAACAAGCGGTACCGCTAGTATTCGCGCGATGTTTGTATAGGTTGCACAACAGTATTAAATTTTGCTATATATTCTTACCAAAAATGCGCAACTTTGAGTAGGTGGTATTAATTGAAAACAAACTTTTGAGAAGTTTCCTTTTCAGATCTTGTAAAACAATTCTTTATAAAGATTTTAGTACCAAAAAATACATAGCCATCCAGCAAGGCACGCAAGTTTGTCTCGCTCGAAGTCGAGCAGGTGCTTGAAAATCAAGTCCAGGACCTAATCACTCCCCACTCAAATACAGTATATAGAAAATTCAGCACGCCCTACATTTTAATGAATCTAGTCAATATAGGAAGTTTACATATTGTTTTTCATCTCATAAAAAAATTCAGCTCCAGTCTCGTGTTAAAATGCCCGAATCGGAAGGGAAGATTCAGGAATTATTTTGTGTCAGCCATGATTTGATGTGAACCTCAAGTGAAATACTGTTATGACACCTATAGTTACAACTTTTGCACCATGTAAAGGCTTTAGCATTACAAAGGCGGGAAAAGGGATGAATTGTTGTTTTGTAATTGTTTTGGAGACCATGCCAAGCTGATTTTGGGTATGTCAGTCGAATAACATAGCCAGATGGCCTTTTGTTATTACGAGAGGGCTGATCTATGGAGGAAATTCGGGTTTGTACAATACAACCAGACGATTTTCATAAAATATACATATAAGATGAGACATAAAGCGTACATTAATAACATACAATAGTTGGTGATATTCCTATGATATCTTCATATAAAATAACGACATGTAGATTTAATATTTAGGGTATGAATTGGGGTGATCCAATCTATGGGTTGT